TCTTCTGAAATCTTAGAACATTGAACATAACAATCTAAAAGTGAATTAAAGGGGAAATGGAAAGGGAGAGATGACTAGGGCCATGCTTGAAAAATTGTGGCGATCCCGAACCGCATTCAAGTGGCGAGACAACTAACCAAGGCAACCAGTTGGAGTGAAACATGGCACGCGGCGAGACAACTAGCTAGGAAGATGTGCACGCCGAGAAGTGGTGAAAACTATGTAAAAAGTCGATTTACCTCCTCACCTGGCTAGTGGCAGTCTTTCGTTGGAGTCGCTCCGGTGACAAAATATCTGGTGACTGAAAAGGTTTTGGTGGTGGGGTGGGTGGTGACTTCACTGCAATTCACACGTGCACTCGTTATTTCATAGCAACCAGCAGTGGTATCCATAATTTAATTCAAATGCCAAAAATGATATGCCAATCTGAGAAAGTTGGTTTTTTAGATAAAATCTCACGGTTGTTATCATAGAGAGACTGCCTGGATGCCATCATTTCCGGAGCCGACATTGACGTAACTCGTCCACCTCTTGTCGCTGGCTCTTGGTACAATTCATCCTCGTAGTCATCATCAGAATCTGGTCTGAACTAGTTCGAATTGAGCAGTGCGAATCCGCTTGCAATCATTTGCAAAGCGGTAGGGTGGTACGTCTCTTACAAAGCTGACTGACCGCTTCGCGACTGCACGCATTGTTGTCAAAATGACGGTACAGTTTACGGAGAACAAAATAACTTCAAATAAAAGTGAATACCCAAATTTGATTACATCAAAAGTTCTTCGTCACCAACAACGTAGTATGTGCCATAATCCCGAATGTCGTCTTCAGATGTGACTCGCTTTCCTCGTCTAAAAATGATCTCACGTAGTTTATACATAAAGTGATCACTGTGGGATTTTATTGATTGGTCGTTTTAATGCGCCTCGTATTCGACCATTATTTGAAACCGCAGTAAAGTTTGGATGTGTCCTTATTCTCCCATGTGAGTTTGGTTAGTAACCAAACCTGGAGGGGTGCATGTTTGGTTGGCTTCGATAGATATCGACCGGGATCCGATACCCGAAACATAGGCGTGATAGCGCGCCGCTTGGCATTACGCTATCTGCGCTTGCTGTAGCTATAGTTTTGTAGTCAGTGTCGACTTAATGATCATCTTTGAAAATCCATTTCTTCATAAAGTAGCCATCGCAGGTCGTTTTGTAAAATTTTAAATTTTTTTAATTTAAGGAGCAGCTTCTACGAAGCGCGCGTGACGCGACTTCAACAACAAGCAATCAAAGCATGAAGGTGATTCTTGATTTCTAGAGGTTGGCAAAGGTACTAAGTATATCTTTTGTTAAACGTCGTTCACGTACATGTCATAAATTGCGGACGCCATTTCGAGTCCGACGTAAGGCGCCACATCAGCTCGAAGACCAGCCAGCGTTGGTGACTGCCATTTTCGCCAGATGAATAATTTAGCCCTAAACAAGGTATATCGAGCAGTTGAGTGGTCATCAACGAAATAAAAGATGAAAGGATACAGTTCCGGGAGGTTCGTCAATCCCGTCTGTGGGATGTGCCCACGTATCCGACTTCCATTCAGAATCGTAGTGGAATATTGAATGCGTATGTGGCCTACACTATGAATTGAAGTGACCAGTCGATGTACAAGTCAGTGTTCTTATCTACGGAGACGGGTTTGGTACCAGTTAGCCGTGCCCTGAGGGATGGATGGTTTGATTGGCCTAGGCGGATATCGGTCCGGCTACGGAGACGGGTTTGGTACCAGTTAGCCGTGCCCTGAGGGATGGATGGTTTGATTGGCCTAGGCGGATATCGGTCCGGGACTCGAACCTGTGACCAAGCGTTTGAGATAAAGCGCCATTTGCCATATACCACCTCCGCAAATAGCCCTCAAAATTACTTCGAACTAACATTGAATATTGTGGTTGTACGAAAAAGTGTCTGCCGAAAATTTCACATGGTTTCAGCACGAAGGGCCGACTGTTTAAGGAGTAATCGTGTAGGAGACCATTCCACAATCAGTTGTCGGATATGTTATGGGTATACACCTGGGTAGGGTCTTTCCATGAAAACCCTATAACGCCTACAGGAGATTGTGGGAGAAATCTGACTATCCGATATTTTTCGCCAATTTTCGAGATATGTAGAGGAAATTAGGAAATTAGAGAAATTTTTGGTGAATACTTTTCACGCTATCTAGTTTTCGCACTGACTAAAGTTATTGAATCTTGTAAACTACTGAACATTAGTTCCCTTATTAGAGTCGATTCTCCTTAGCTTTATGAAATTAGCGTAAAAGAAGTCTCATCGTGCTCAATCAAGCATCGCTTAACACTGCCTCTTTAGAAAGGCAGAGACGCAGAGGCACGCATTTCGGCATAGTCGAACGCAGTTGACGCGACGTGCCCCTGGGTTGTCCTGACTCATGTCCTAGACACTGCAGCAAAGCTTGAAAAACGCACTTTTTACTTCTTGGATCACCATTTGCCTTCACGTAAATCTTCTTCACAGCTGGTTGTCCATATCGATTCTCTATTTTTTCGCTATTTCGTCGTTCAATGTCTCCACGTCGTCGTTTGTTCAGCTCCACATAGGAAAAATCACTGTAGGGATCATACTGAGCTAAAAGGTGTAGAGAAATTTAAGGGAACAGAATTGAACTATCGAAAACTTTTTTGAATAGTAATGGACACGAGATTGAAGAAGACGAGTTAGACATCGGTTTGTCACCTTACAAGGATCACATGAGGTTGAACTTAGAACAATAATTAGAACTTACTAGTCATTACTTTTCAAAATGACGATGACGTAGATAGTAAAGCTGATTGAGGCGATGAACGACCGGTGCTGTGACGACAATGAACACGAAAGGCTCGGTGAGCGTTGCCAAGGGCCAAAGTCGATATTATTCATAAGTAGAGAGGTGGGGAAGTCGCAAAATGGATTCCAAGGGCCGAGTCACTTCAAAAACACGAGTTCTTCAATTTTACGATTTTAGAACTTTTTAAAAGGCTCTCTCAAGTAGCCTCAACTTTTCAGAAAAGGCTTTCTGCCCCAAAAGTGGATTTTAGGTGTTCAAGCAAAATATTTGTTTTGATATACTTCTCTTTCGAATGATTAGGATCTCATATACCAGCTAGTACAAAGAGACTGAAAAATATTCTTTTCGGATGACAGATATTTGTCTCGATTTGTTTTGTTGAAATCTGATGGAAATCTAGTTAAAGGGGGTGGGGAGACACTTTCTTCAAGAGTACATAAGCGCTGAAGCTCAGACAAAGAAGGGTGCCGGCTTTGAGGGTCCGTAACGGTGATTAGCGACAGTTTTTCGCCAGAAAAATATAGTTTTCAACTAAGTCTTGGGAGGAAGATGCACCGGGATAGATGAGATGGTCACCTCGTGCAAAGGGCTGGGATGGGAGATGAACTAAATATCTAATTAGGCACTGATTCATTACTCCTAAAGGCACAGCTCACGATAATTTTGGGTAATTCAGATTATGATGAAAAATGGAAGACAA